GCTCAAGGACTCCGCTGGCACCAGGCCCTCCACGGAGCCCAGCAGCCTCCTGGGAGCTCAGCTGACCCCACCTGAAAAGCTCAGACTGTCCTGGATGGTCACCCCTCGCTCCCTGTCCCTCAGCAGTGGACACTGGGGGTGTCTCCCAAGGCCAGGGGCCTGTCTCGGGGCAAAGGGGTCCCTGGTGTGGCCGGGCAGCAGGGGTCAGCCCTGGGCCCTCCCTGTGTCCAGACGGACCTGGCCGGCATGGGTTGCCTTCCCGCCCACAGTGCCAGCCACCCTCTGCGCTGCCTGGGGGCACCCTGGGCGAGCCTGGGCCCTTTCTTGGGCTGGAGGGGCCCGGTCCCCAGGCCGGTGCATCTGCTCCCCTTGCCATGTGGGGCCCCGGGCTGGGCAGCTGCCCAGAGTTCTTAGCAGTGTCCCCTGGGCCTTCTCGGGAGCCGGGGGGTGGGGGACAGGAAGCTCCCTGTGCCAGCAGGCGGGCTCTGGGGGCCCAAGCTCCAGGTAGACCCCGGGGGGGCTCTGTGGCACCCACAGACAGCCCCTCCCCCGCCTGGCCTGAGTCAGGATCCCACGGGCTGGGGGCACGGTCCGGGAGGGGGCTCATGTCTGACCCCACCAAGGCCCTGGCTCTCTGGCATCTCCGCCCTCTGGCCATCCTGTAGGCCAGTGGGGATGGTGACCAATAGCTGTGGGTCCTGCAAGTGGAGCAGGTGTGACCAGTCACCATCGGCTCCAACTCTGGGCCTCACTGTCCCTGACAGACAGTCACAGTCAGAGCTGCGGGGCAGGAGAGGGTGTGTGGGCGGGGGGCGCGGTCCAGGCCGCTGCTGTGGGAAGGGTCGGGGCCCTTCAGTGCTCCAAGGTGGGAGACAAGGCCCCAGAGGTCCTGTCCAGGGCCTCCCGCAGGGCTGCAGCAGGCATGTGCAGCCAGTGAGCAGGGCCAGGGTCAGTCCCATGTCAGGCCCCACTCGGCCTCTTGGGCCTACAACGGCCCTGCCTCTCTCCTGCCGGCCCCTCCCCAAGCAGGTGGGGAGTGGGGAGGCCCCGACTGCTGGCCCAGGGGCTGCTAGCCAGGCCTCCTTCTAGAAACTACCGCTTGCACCTCCCCAGGGCATGGGACATGCCTGCAGGCAGCGCGGGGCGGAGGTGGTCAGCCCAGGGCATGTCCCCTGCTGGTCCCTGCACACAGGGCAGGCTCCGGGCTGTGGGTCTGTGTGGGGCCAGGCAGTCGCAAGGTCCAGCGCTGAGGCGAGCGTGTCCTCTGTGCTGGCTGTGACCTGCGACTCCTGCTGACCTCAGAGGCGGTGCCCAGAGACACATACCACCGACAGCTGGTGAGGCCCAGAGACGCTCAGGGGCGACCCCAGGTCACACAGCGAGAGACAGAGAGGCCCAGAGGGCTGGACGGTTCTAGGTGCAGCAGGAACCTTCTGGAACTTGGCAGACCATCCTGCCTCCCTGCACTGGGCAACCCCGAGTGACTTTCTGAGCTGGCTGTCCCCTGCTGGGCCACCTCAGTCTTTGGCCCACATGTGTCCCTCCTGAGCATGGGGCCCTCGTCACTTCTCTTCAAGAGCCCCAGAGGCTGCCAGAGGCAGGATGGTGGCGTGGGTCTCACCAGGGACCAGGCCGTGCCAGGGGGCCCGGAGATGTAGTGTGGGAAGAGCCCAGTCTGCATGAGCCCACGGGGCCTCTGCTCCAGGATGTACCCCAGGGACAACTGTGGGTCCCCCAAAGACAGCACCAGCCTCCCTGTGCCCCTGTGACCTTGTGTTAGCTGGATGATGTGGGCGTGGGCACTGTTAGGGCAGGGCACTGGGCTCTGGGGACAGAGCCTATCTGCACCCAGGCTCCTGTCTACACCCAGGGTTCCTATCTGCACTCGGGGCTCCTGTCTACACCCGGGTTCCTGTCTGCACTCAGGGTTCCTGTCTGCACTCAGGGCTCCCTGTAACTGGGCTCCCGTCTACACCCGGGCTCCCGTCTGCACCTGGGTTCCTGTCTACACCTGGGCTCCTGTCTACACCCTGGGCTCCCATCTACACCCGGGCCCGTCTGCACTTGGGGTACCTGTCTGCACTGAGCCCCTGTCTGTACCCCAGGCCTCCAGTAGCTCGGGTGTGGCCCGGCCCACTCAGATCTGCCCTGTGTCTCCTTGTCAGTGATCTCAAGCAGGGCTCCCAGACGTTGCGCCCTGAACCCCTGCCTTTCCTAAAATAATTTGTAGGCACCAGAGCCAGTCCTGGGGTCCAGCTTGGCGATTCAAAGCCTGTCTCTGACTCCTCGATGCGGCCGAGCACCCCTTCCCTCCACAGCGAGACTTCCCTTGGGGCGAGTGCTCCCCCGGGAATAGGCCAGAAGCAGCAGCTGGTGCAGCCACACCCACCCCGCACCCTTACACGCCTCTCCTCTCTTCAACAGGGCGGCCGGCCGAGGGACACGAGTCCGATGCCTGGATGTCCTCTGCGCTGGCAGTAGCACGAGAGCCAGGGGGCTGCCGGGCTCATGGCGCCAGCCCCCAGCCACCATGTTTGGGACACCGGAAAGCCAAACCCAGCCCGGCAGACGAGGCGCTGTCCCAGGGCCGCCAGGCGGGAACCTGCGCAGCCTCCCCAGGAAGACGGGGCAATGGCCCCCCGCTCAAAGGGCCCACACCGTGTCCCAGAGGGGCCCCTACCTCCATGTGTACACACACGGATGCACATGCTCATGCATGTGCAACATATAGCATATGTGTACACACTTTGTGCACATGTGTGCATAGGCACACACATCTTGGCACACATGTGCACAGACACACACACACAGATAAGCACACAGACACACACAGACACGCATGCACACCCGGCACCAAGTCAGGCTTCTGGGTCGGCTCATCCCTGCGCAGGACCTGAGCCTTGTGGGCAGAGAGGCGCCAGGCCCTGTGGGCATCAGCCTCGTTCTCAGTTGAGGAACGAGGTCCTGCCCTCCGCAAGAGACTGTCCTCGGCTTCTGGACGCACGAACCGTGGGACCCAGGGCTGGGCTTTCTCCCCGTGGAACGGCCCTGCTCCGGGTGGAGGGATGTACCCGAGCCCCCCAGCTCTGGCCAGCACCGCCAGCCCGGACCCCACGCTCCTCTCAGCTGCCGCCCGCCCAGCGGCTGAGTGGGTGAGGATGGCCATTGTGTGCACATGCGCGGCCAGTGACATTAAGTGTCATTGAAATCGGCAGCCTGGCAGCGGAGTGGCTGCTGACGCCACGCTTGGGGGCAGGCGCTGGGAAGGTTGCGCAGTAATGACCGAATTATCTCCCCGGTGCTGCGGGAACAACCCCCAGCAGCTGCCACGGGGATCCGATGGTCTAGGGGCCACCTCCCTCAGCCCCCCCCCGCTCCCCCACCCCATCCCCCATCTCCCGTTCCCTATGCGCCCCATCTCCCTCCATCTCCCCCAGACCCCCACTCTCTCAGCTGCCTCCGCTCTGCAGCAGCTGAGCCTGGGTGGGAGCCTGACATTAATGCCAAGTCCCGGGGGTGTGGAGGTGGAAAATCCAGAATACATCCTTGGTGCCCAGGGGTCTGGGAAAGGGGGGCACCTTCCCCTCGGCCCCTCCCGGGAGTTGGGTCCCAGAGGGAGGTCAGGCTAGGCCCAAGAGGGGCCCCGGGCTTCCTGGCAGAGGGTCCCCGCCCCATGCCGGCTCCTGCTCAGGACTGACCCCTGGTGGTGCCCAGACCACGCGGTGCAGGAGCTGAAGGGGGGAGGGGAGGCCTTCCCACCCTGGCTCAAAACAACTCATTTCTAGACCACACCTGGTGGCAACTCAGGGTTATCCTTGGCTCTGTGCTCAGGGGTCTCTCCCGGCAGGAATCAGGGACCATATGGGGTGCGGGGGCTTGAATCTGGGCTGGCCATGTGCAAGGCCAGCACTCTACTGCCCTGTCCCTGAAGTCCCTCGCCCCCTCCCATCCCTGGGGTCTCGTACCCCTGTTCTGTGTCTCCAGCTCTGGCTGTGCGATTCTGTCCCTGGCCCGGCGCTGGCCAGTTACAAGCCGCAAAGGCCCCGTCTGCCTCCCGCCTGCGAGACCCCAGCTGGGCCTGAGCAGCAGGTGGGGGTAACAGAGCCGGCAGCAGGGGGTCCCCTAGGCTGTGTCCTGGAGGGGGCAGGGTGAGGGCAGAGAGGCAGCTGAGCATCCCCGGGGCACAGATGCTCTCCCCAAGGTCTCAGCAGAGGGACAGGACATGGAGGTGGCATGTGCTCGAGACACCCTGGCGGTGGGAGGCACTGAGCCCCAAGACCACCACAGCCTCTTCCTTAGGAAGGCCCAGTGGGACTCCGCCCCCTCTCCCAGATGGAGGAGCCAGGGGCTGCAGGGGGTACCATGCCCACCTGCCCAGTGAGTGGAAACGCAGCCCAGAAGTCGCCCCAGGCCCTGGCCCCCCTGCCAGCCCCCTCCCCATCATGCTGGGGGACTGCAGGGACGGCCAGCACCCCCATAGAGGCAGGGCGCTGAGTGCTGGCTGCCCTGGCACCTTCTTCTTGCCCTAGAAGCTGATTTCTAGAAGGTTTTCTGGAAGCCTCTGGGTTGACGAGTCAATACATGACACTTCCGAGCATGATGCAGATTCTCTTGGCAGGATTTGCGTGTCCTCCACCGTCCAGTTCTTGGTGGGGATGGTGGGCATCAACGTGGAACCAGCTCCCCCATCAGGCTCCTCCCGACCTCCCCGCCCTCCCGCTCTCCCGCCCGCGGTCGAGGGCCTCTTCCTTCCGGAGCCCAGTGCCCTGGTCCTCACAGGCGCTGGACCAAGCGGGCTCGGGCAGCTCCCTCTGCACTGCCCGCCTGGGCCGGGCACGAAGTCCATCAGAGGCCCTCCGTGTGTGCCTGCATGCCACACAGCTGGAGCCGCGGGCTCCGAGCTGTGGGGTCAAGGTGGGGCTTGGCGGCAGAGCCCTGGGGCTCCGCCCTTGAGTTCCGCTGGCATCTCCTCGGAGCAGCCACAGCCCCATCCCCCAGGCCCCCAGCCCAGGCCTTCGGGCGGGCCCCAGCCTATCTTCGGAACCCGAACCCTTCTCGGGGCAGCTTTGAGTCCTTCCTGGCGTCCCGGGGGGGCCTGGGCGAAGGCGTGTCCACGGTGCCCCCGTACGGACAGCTCTCGGGCGCCGGGTGGTGGCCAGTGCACTCCACGGCTGGGATGTAGCCACTGTCCCACATGCCAGGGCCACACAGGCGGCACAGCTCACACAGGCTGCAGGGGATGCGGGCCAGCAGACGGAACTGGTACAGCAGGCTGCGGGCCTGCAAGAGAGGACACTGCAGGGTGGACAGGGCAGTGGGGGAGGCCCGGCTATGTCTGAGGAGCAGTCCCACAGTTGCACCCCGCGGCCCCGCGCCCGGCCTGCCCACACTGCCATGCATGGACAGTACGCTCTCTCTGGAACGCTAACTGCCCAAGTGGCCACTGCGCCCCAGGACCCACAGCGGCCCTTCAGCCAACCTGGGGTGGTGACAAGTGACGGTTCAACCCCCAAACCTCCCCCAGCCTTCCTGACTCCACTGGGGTGATCAGGCCCGCAGCGCCCACGGGTGCTGACCTCTGGTGGGCAGCGGCAGTGCTGGGTGGGGCAGGGCCTTGACAGGACTCCGGGAGAGGACCCAGAGTTCAGGGGTGGGCGGGACCTGTCAGGGGAGCATGATGGATGGGGCCTGTGGGAGGAGTTATGTTGGGGGGGCAGCGCCAGCCTGGAGTCTGCAGGGGTGGGGTGGTGGGCATGGTTACAGGGCGAGCCAATGGGCGGGGATGTGGACCTGTGAGCGCAGGGGGCGGGGCGTGGTAGGCGTGGTCACAGGGCAGGCCAATGGGCGGGGATGTGAGCCTGTGATCACTGGGGCGGGTCGTGGGTGGTGGGCGTGGTCACAGAGCGGGGGGGGGCAATGGGCGGGGATATGGGGCCTGTGAGCACAGGGGCGGGGCCTATCACAAGGTGGCATCCGTTAGTGGGTGGGGCCAGCGCTCCAGGTGGGCCGCTCTGCAGGGAAGGAGGGCGGGGCGCGCACCTTCCTGAGAACGAGCTCCCCGTTCATGTGCATGGCCAGGTTTCCAAAGTGCAGGAGCATCTGGTCGGTGGGCAGCTGTTGCTCAACGACGTCGTCCCCGTAGATGGCCACGATGGCCACGCAGATGAAGAGGTGGAAGTAATCCGTCTAGGGGGAGAGGCTTTCAGACGGGGCGCACCCAGCCCGCCCACCTGCCCACCCAGGGCCCCAGTTTGGGGTATGTGAGCGGAATAAGCCAAGCAGCCTCTTTGGGGGGCTCCCAAACTGTGCTCAGGGGACCTGTGGGCCTCTCCTGGGGACCAGCAGTGCTGGAAGCCCTCGGGCTGAACCCCACAGTGATGGGGTGCACAGGGTACTTGGTTGGGAGCATGGTTGGGGCTGGCTAGCCACCGTGTCCCCTCCAGGCCCTCCTGCAAGCCAGAGGTGTGGGGACAACTGAGGGAAGGGTGTGCTGGCCACTCGGGGAGTGCCTGCATGCCCAGTCTCTGGGGCAGGGGCACGGGACACCTTCCTCTTAGCGTCGGCCCTGCTCATGCCCAAGGCTCCTGGTGTGGGGGCTTGGCTGATGACAGAGTCTGGTGAGGACACTCGGGCCGTGAACACATGTCAGGAGAATGGCCGCAGCCACGGCCACAGGAACTGTGTCCTTACTGGGCCGCCCTGCTGCGGGCCCCAGGGAGACAGTGGGCTGGTCAGAGCACAAGAGCACAGCAGCCGGAGATGGCCACACGGTGTCCCTGGCCCGTGGCAGGAAGCCGGGACTTGGTCTGGTCCGGGACATCCTGGCGCTCTCCTGCTCGGAGCCAGTGGGCACACGAGCTTGGGGGCAGAGGAAGGACAAGGAGCCGCAGGAAGCCCGTGTTTAGTCTCTGCGGGAAACGCCCAGTCGCCGGAACTGCGTCTCCAAAGGACTGGGTGGGCGCCGCCCAGTGGGCAGAGGCAAAGGCTGGCCCTGGTCCTGGACATCCCTTCCTCCCAGGTCTGGCAATGGCTCAAGAGCCCAGAGGGAACCTCGTGGCTCAGGGAGGGAGGGGGGCTCAGCGGAGGCTTCCAGAGAGAGGCAGGGAAGGGGCGCAGCTCTGGGAACTAAGGTCAGCCCCCAGAAGCAGAGCAACAGGGAAGGATAGATGAACCTTTCTGGTTGGGTTTCTGGAGTGGTCCCAAGGCCCCCTCCCCCACGCCTCCCCATGGCCGTCACCCCACCCGCAGTGCGAATCCGAAGAGAGGTGGGTCTCACAGATGGAGCAGTGGACAGAGGCGTCCCGGGCCTTGGCCCTCTCCACTGCACAGGTGTGTGAGGGTAGTACCCCAAGGTTGCCTGGCTCCTCATGGGGGGCCCAGGTGACCCCCGGGAAATTGCTCCCAGAGGCTGTGAAAAGCTGACAAGACTTTTTCCAAACGGGGCCCAGTGTCTGGGGAGCATCGATGCTCTGCTGGCCTGTGTTTCATCCCGAGCACATGCCCTGTGCCCAGCACAGTCAGACTCGCTGCCTGAGACGGCAGGAGGCTGGGGAAGGGCGGGAAATGCTGGGCGCATCTCCGGGGGCTGCAGGTGCCCCCCCCGCCCCGTCTACAATACCAGTCGAAAGGCAGCTGTGAGCAGCAACTCTGGAAAGAGCCCCTCCGTAGGGCTGACAGATGCTGAGGGACCCCTTAGCCCTGTGTGTGGCCAGCCTGCCGCTAATCTGTGACAGGCCAGGATGGAGCAGGGGAGCCAAGGGGGACTCGCCAGCGGAAATGGAGCTCACTGGGAAGGTGGGCGCTGGTGCTCCAGCCCCCTGGAGCCAGCCTAGGGGGCAGCGGGTGGTTTGCACGGTCCTGGGCGGTCACCTGGTAGTGGGCCCAGCAGGCCTCCCAGATGCGAAGGGCCTCGGGCTCGGGGAACTCGCGCTTGAAGCAGAGCAGCAGCCAGCGGTGGCAGAAGAGCAGCTGCAGCCCATCCTCGCCCAGGGACTCCAGGTGCTGGTGGAAGCGCGGCAGCGCCAGGCGCAGGAGCTCCCGCAGGTACAGCTGGGGGGGTGGGAGTCGTGGTTCTGCCCGGCTGCCCCCCCCACAGGAGGCCCCACCTGCCATGCGCGCCCACAGCTTGGGGCCACGAGCATCTTGAGTTTGGATCGATGTGCCCCCTGGCCTGAGGCGCCCCGTCTCCACCAGCCTGTTCCGGGGCTCTGTGGGGGCTGCGGCTGGGCAAGTTGTGCCCAGGAGGGAGACCAGAGGCCCACGGAAGCACGACACTGGTCTGGCGTGACTGTGAGATGCACCTTTGCAGGGTGATTAGGCGGATCCTGAGCCCCAGATCCTGAGGGGTCGGGCCAGGGGCAGCGCCTCTCGGGAAGCCGCGGGCCGTGCACGGAGGAAGATAAACTCCTCCAGAGCCCTCCCGCCAGGGCCCCCCTGCCAGAACCCCCTCCAGCCCCCCCACCCACCAGCACCTTCTCCCACCAGAGCCCCCCCAGAGCCCCTCCCAGCTTGACTGCTAGGAGCAGGGAAGCTGATGTTACAACCCTGCAGGGTGGGCCTGGTCTTTTAGGACCTGGTTCTGGGGCCCTGCCTGGCCCCTTTTCTGTTGCCTGTGCCCCCCCCATCCTCTGTCCTCCCCATGGCCCTGGTCATGGCCCTTGACCTGGGGACAGGTCTGGTTCCTCTCTCAACACGGCGGGAATAGACGCTGCGAGGGGGCTCAGCCGGGAGCGGGGACTGGCGCTGCCCAGGGCCATGGATGGGGGTGTCCTCTTATGAGAGCTGCCCCAGTCCCCCGGCACTGGCCATGCCCACCCTGATCATTCTGCCCTTCCCGCACAGACACACCGGGGAGGCGGCAGCGGGTTAACTCGGTACCCCCATCCCTGCCCCATCCCCATCATAGTTCTGTCCTATCCTGTCCCTGTCCTATCCCCATTCTGTCCTGTCCCTGTCGCCGTTCCCACCCCCCACCCCACCCCGTCCTGTCCTGCCTCGTCCACTCACCAGCTGCGTCTCCATGTCCTCGTCGCGGGGCGAGCTGACGAAGATGGTGTTCTGCATCAAGCCCACGAAGCACCAGAAGGTGTCCGCCTCATCCAGGACCTCGGCCAGGAGAGGGGCCACCAGGTCGGACATGCCCTGAGAGTAGCCGATGGCCGGGCTGAACACAGCATAGTTGAGCAGGATTCTCCTGGTGGCCAAGGTGGGCAGTCAGCAGGGGAGAGCAGGGTCAGCGGGAGTGGAGGAGAGACCGGGGCGGGGGGGGGGGGGGGTAGAGGGCGTCACTGGCCTCTGCCGGGCACGTCTGGGGAAGGGCAGTGAAGTGCAGAGGCCACAGAGGGTCCAGGCTGAGAGGGAGGCGCTATGGGTGGGGCCAGGCCATGCCAGGTGGCCATGGGCACTGAGGGCTTTGGCTACTGGCCGACACACACTGGGAAGCCAGGCCAGGGGAGCTGCCCGGTCAGCAGGGCCAGGCTGGACTGGAGCCTAACACCTCAGGGCCGCCCAAAAGGCATTGCTGCTGCCCCTCCTTGCAGGTGGGTGGTCAGCTGGGGACAGAGGGACAGTCAGCAGAGGGCAGAGGGGCGGTCAGCGGGGGCAGAGGGGCGGTGTGGGTGCAGGCGTGGGTGTGGTGGGCACACCTCATGATCTCCACGTTGGGGTTGCCGTCCCCGCGGAAAAATTGGTTGGTGCGGTCAGTGCGGACCACGTCCTTGTCCACGGTCACCTGCACATTTCTCCAGAAGGCGCTGTGCTCCTCAGGGCTCATGGACAGCCTAGAGGGGGCCAGTCAATGCATGGCCTCCTGCCCAGCCTCACCCACCAGGGCTCCCGGACGTGCTGGAGTGCCAAGGGTCCAGTGGGTGGATAAGCACACTGTGTGATCCGGGCCGTGGGTGGGGACCAGCCCTCTATCCAGTGGGGTGCTGGACCCCAAGCTACCCGTGTGAGCTGGATTTGCCTCTGGCCCAGGAAAAGACCTGGGGTCTGAGGTCTGGGGCCTGGCTCTGAGCATCTCAGGGCCTCTGTGGGGGCGGGGCCACCGCTGGTTCTGTTCCAGCTGGGAAGCCCACCGGGCAGTGCTGGGGGGCCGCCCGGGGTCCCGCTACCTTTTCTGCTGGATTTCCTCGTACTCCCGCTGCTTCTGCCGCCGCAGCGCCTCCCTTTCCTCCGACGTGGACTCGGGGCTGTAATAGCCCAGCAGGAAGGGCCACACCTCCCCCCGGATTGACACCTCAATGCCGCCGAAGAAAATGGCCTGGAAGGGGCAGCCAGCGTGGGGGAGGGGCCGGCACCCCAAACCCCCGGGCCCGGCTGACCCGGACAACTGAAGCCTTGATTCCCGGCGATTTGCACATGTGTGGCGGCGCCTTCCCAGCCGCCCGCCGCTCATTTCAATGTCAAAGCCCCCCCGGGGCGCACGCACCGCGGCCCCCGCGCCTAATCCGCGGTGGGAACGGCCTCACCTTCCGCAGCCGGTGCTCCTCCTGCACCTGGCCCAGCGCGTTCAGGTGCCCGAGCCAGGCCGCCACGTCCAGCCGCCGGTACAGGCTCTCCTCGGGGTGCGTCTCGGCCGACGGCAGCTTGGGGCGTCGGATGGAGAACTGCATGCGCAGCCGCTGCTCGGAGACCTGCGGCGGGGCGGGCTGGCTGGGGTCGCGGGCCCGCGGCCCCCCCAGCCCCGGCCCCCGCCCCGGCCCCCCGAACGGCAAGTGCAATTAGACTCAATTGAAATGAAAAGACCTTCTCCCGTCACCCGCTCCCGGCCCCTCGCGCCGCCCCCGCATCCCGCCCGACCCCGGCCGCGGGACGGAATCAATGCCCGTGCGGCCCGCTTGGCCGGCCCGGCGGGCTGCAATAAATTACATGCGACTGGCCACGTACAAAGGCAGCGCTGTTCGCGAGCCGGGCCGCGGCCAGGCGCGCCGCGACCCCGCCGCCGCCGTTTCATTCAGAAATCAGAGGTTGCGCGGGGTCCGGGGGCCGCCGGCCTGGGGGCCGGGGGCCGGGGGCGGGGGTCGCGGCGCCCGAGCAGGTCATTACGGGGCGCCTCCCGCACCGTGCGCAGAGGGGCGCAATACGGCAGCTCTCTGAGAGTCAGGCAGGCCTCTGCCCTGCCGAGCGCGGCGGGCCGGGAAGGGCGAACACGCGGGGCGGCCGCAGCTCGGCCCCACGGTCACGCCGGACGGCCGGGCCCTGGACGGCGGGGGGCGGGGCCTCGGCGCGGGGCGGGGCTCTACGGACAGGGGCGGGGCCTGGCGGCAGGACGGGACCTTAGCGGCAGTGCGTGCTGTGAGGGGCGGGGCTCCACGGACAGGGACGGGACCTCAGCGGCAGTGTGTGGCCGTGAGAGGGCGGGGCTCTGTAGACAGGGGCGAGGCCTCTGCGGCGGGGCGGGGCTCTACAGACAAGGGCGGGGTTCCATTGGTGGGGGAGGGGCCTGGTGGCAGGACGGGATCTCAGCGGCAATGCTTGGCTGAGAGGAGCGTGGCTCCACTGGAGGGGGCGTGGCTCCACTGGTGGGGGCGGGCCTGACGACAGGGCGGGGTTCTACGGACAAGGACGGGAACACAGGGGCAAGGCGGGACTCTACTGATCGAGACGGGGCTCAATAGATAGGGGTGAAGCCCCACTGGCCAGAGCGGGGCCTCTGTGTGAGGGCGGGGCTCTACGGACAAAGGCGGGACCTCAGAGGCAGGGAAGGACTCTACTAATAGGGGCGGGGCTTCTGCGTCAGGGCGGGATTCTGACAGGGCGAGGCCTGGGGGCAGGGCGGGGATGTGGGGGCGTGGCTCTACTGGCAGGGGCGGGTCCTCAGCAGCAGGGTGGGGTGGGACCTCAGTAGCAGGGTGAGGCTCTATTGAGGGGCGGTGCTCTACAGACAAGGGCGGGGCTCCATTGATGGGGGAGGGCCTGGCAGCAGGACGGGATCTCAGGGGCTGTGTGTGACTGAGGGGCGCGGCTCCACTGGAGGGGGCAGGGCCTCTATGGCGGGGCGGGGCTCGATAGACAAGGGCGGGGCCTCTGCGGCGGGGCGGGGCTCTACAGCCAAGGGCGGGGCTCCATTGGTGGGGTGGGGCCTGGCAGCAGAACAGGATCTCAGCGGCACTGCGTCGCTGAGGGGCGTAGCTCCACTGGAGGGGGCGGGCTTAACGACAGGGCGGGTTTCTACAGACAAGGATGGGACCACAGGGGCAAGGTGGGGCTCTACTGATAGAGAAGGGGCTCAATAGACAGGAGTGAAGCTCTGCTCACCGGAGCGGGGCCTCGGTGTGAGGGCGGGGCTCTACGGACAAGTGCGGGACCTCAGAGACAGGGCAGGACTCTACTGATAGGGGCGTGGCTTCTGCGGCAGGGCGGGGCTGTGGAGGCGTGGCTCTACAGACAGGGCGTGGCCCCACTGGCAGGGGCGGGTCCTCAGTAGCAGGGTGGGGGCTCTATTGAGGGGGCGGGGTTCTATAGACAGGGGCGGGGCCTCTGCGGCAGGGCGTGGTCGAGGGGCGTGGCTTCACTGACGGGGGCGTGACCTCTACGGTGGGGCAGGGCTCTCAAGGGTGGGGCTCAACTGGTGGGGGCGGGCCTGACGACAGGACGGGGTTCTACAGACAAGGACGGGACCACAGGGGCAAGGTGGGGCTCTACTGATCAAAACCGGGCTCAATAGACAGGGGTGAAACTCCACTGGCCGGAGCAGGGCCTCGGTGTGAGGGCGGGGCTCTACGGACAAGGGCGGGACCTCAGAGGCAGGGCAGGACTCATACTAATAGGGGCGGGGCCTCTGAGGCAGGGCGGTACTCTACTGACAGGGCGGGGCTGCAAGGGGCGGGGCTCTATAGACAGGGCGTGGCTCCACTGGCAGGGGCGGGTCATCGGCAGCAGGACCTCAGCAGCAGGGTGGGGCTTACTGAGAGGGGCGGGGCCTTGGCGGTGGGGCGAGACTCTATAGACAGGGGCGGGGCCTCACCAGCTGGGGCGGGGCCCTACTGACAGTTGCGGGGCCTTGGTGGCAAATGCGGTCTGCCTGTACCTGGTCCTGCAGGTGCGTCTCTGTGCAGTACTTCCACTGCTGGAACACGTCGGAAAGCTTGCCCAGGCCACCGTGGTGGAAATGCAGCACCTTGTACTGGCTCTCCCGGCTGGCCACCACCAGCTGCCCGCTGGTGCACGCCTCGTCACTGGCAATGTGGGGAAAGGTACCAGTGAGTGTGCAGTGCAGCTCATCTGGTGGGGACAGGCTGTACCGCCAACCCAGGGCAGGGTGTGTTTGGTGGTCCTGCTGCGGCAGTCTGCTACTCCAGAGATGTAGCCCCAACACACACCACCAGCCCTTTGCCAGAGAAGCCACAGGCTCTGCCCTGGGTTCCCTGGGACCTAGGGCTTATCCTTACTGCCATCCCTGCCCCCACCTGGCTGCAGCCCTCCCCACTGGACCCGAGGTAAGGGGCTGGTGGTGGAACGGGGTGTAGCAGCAGGAGATGGCCCCAGCAGCAAGCTTCCCCAGCACACACACTGGGAGGGCAGGAAGGGGCCATGGAGGCCAGCACTCCTCTCGGTCTGCTCCCAGCTGCGACCCCCGCGTGATAGGCCTGCCCTAAGCGTGGCCTTGGAGGGCGTTGTCTGGCTTGGGCTCCGACCTCGGCCCTGCACAGGACTTCACTGGGGCTTCTCCACATCACTGAGGAAGGGGCTCGGCACGAAGGGTGCAGGGGGTGCCTGAAATGGTGGTGTGGGAAGGCGGGGTCGTGATGGGGTCACCGGCCCAGCTGGAGTCCAGCCCCCCCCAGGATGGGGGCGGGAGGCCCAGGGGAGTCGCGTCACCTGAAGAAGAGCCGCAGGGAGCGCATCTGGCCCAGGTCCACGCGGAACACACCACAGATCTGCTCCAGGGCGCACGCCCGCTGAGGCTCGTCCCAGCGCTGGGTCCGCGGGTCAGCGTCAGCACTGCAGGGCAGGGGGGTAAGGCCACACGACTGGGTCCTGGCCGCCCAGGGCATGAGGACAAGCAAGACGCAGGGAGGGTACCCACACCCACCCCAGCCCAGGGGTCAGCAGGGAGTCTGAGCACAGCTTTGCATGTGGAAGCCCAGGTGCACCCCACACCTGCATCACCAGGTGCAACCCTTGAGCCAAAAGGTAGCACAAAGACAGTCCAGGCTCACAAACACACGTGCATACCTCACACATGCACACATGCATGCACTCACACACGCACACATGCACACACATGTGCACACCACACGCATACTCGTGTACACACATGACACATGCACACATGCACTCACATGCACACACGTGTGTGCACACATGCACAGCCATCCACTCACACACACTCACACACACTTGCACACACATGCACACTCATGCACACTCACACATATTGGGAGACACCAAAGAATCTGCTGATAACTTGGGAAGGACAGAGACAGTCCCCAGCGCCGAGAGGTTTCCTGACCCACCCGGTGGCCTGTGGCAGGGCTGACCTCTGACCTGGCCTTGACTGTGCTCTAGGTCTGAAGGTTCAGACTCAAGGGAACACCCTCTCCTGGGTTTTCTCCTCTTAAGTTCGCAGATTGGCCGAGCCCCCTGGTTGCAAAGCAGTTTGACGTGGCTCTGCCCGGCAGAGGAAATCCGGTTCTGGATATTAACAGCACCCTCTGCCTAGCAGCGGCCCCAAGGGACACCAGGGCCCCAGGCCAGCCCCTTGTGCCTCAGTGTCTCAGAAATTCCCACCAGCTCGCGACTGCAGCTTCTGGAATGTTCCAGCCTTGCATGTGGCAGCGGCTGCTCTTCCCGAGTCCTGGATAGTGCAGAGCAGGGCCCACAGGGGAAACACCCGGAGTCATGAACAAAGTCAGGCCCCCAAAGGCAGGGGGTGGGCCCACCGCCCCAGGGTTTGACCAGGCAGCTCCGTGTGGGCACCAGTCAGGAGGCCTCTACCCCCCTGTCCTCTCCCCACCCCCCCAGCTGGGACAGGCTCCCTCTGGCAGATCCTGGGCCTCCCTTGGGTCCCTGCAGGGAAGAGGCCAGTGAGGAGTCCCCACCCCCGCAGGAAGCCTCCAGGGGTGTTTCTGCACTAATGAATCCATTGATTAACCCCAGGCTCAGCTGAGGAGAGTGCAGCCGGGGGCAGGAGGTGGGTGTTGACAAAGGTTCCAGCCCTCCCCAGGGCTCCTGGGCACCTGGCTGGCCTGTCCCCTCGGGCCAGTGAGATGGGATGGCCCCTGGTGTCCTATGTCATGAGTCTTCTGATAGGTAAGCATGGGATGGACACTAGACACTCGCCCTGCCTCCCCACAGGCCAGAGTGTCTGTGAAGGGCTTGGAGGGCTGGGATGTGCCTTCCCAGGCAGGCCCCATACTGGTCCCTACTCCCCGCCCCCAGGACCCCACTCTGCCGGTAATGAGATTACTGGATTTTGTAATTTCATCTCCTGACTGCCTCCTGCAAGCTCTGCTCCACGCCTGATGGGGACCATCTCCCAGTAGGGACTCGCCTGTGGGCGTGAGGCTCAGCCAGGAAAGCCGAACAGCCCCAGGGGTCCCTGGAGTCCTGAGGCAGGGGTCCCTGTAGCCCCGAGGTGTTTCCGTAGCCCTGAGGTATCCCTGTAGCCTTTAGGGGTCCCCATAACCCCGGGTCACTGTAAGGTGGGCGGGAGTGGGCATGGGGTGGGAGCGAGCAGCCTTGGTGGGACAGTTTGGAGGAACGCTCCCCACCCACACACCATACACACGCGGGTCTCAGCAGAGATGGCCTCGGTCCCAGAGAAACACCCTGGGTGAGAAACCCCATCCGGCCGCCCTTGGGAAACCCTCGTGGGACGCGGGGTCACTCTATGTCACGTTGCCAAGAAGCATGTGGTTGGGGCTGGAGCAATAGCACAGCGGGTGGGCGTTTGCCTTGCACGCGGCCAACCCGAGTTCAATTCCCAGCATCCCATATGGTCCCCTGAGCACCGCCAGGGGTAATTTCTGAGCGCAGAGCCAGGAGTAACCCCTGTGCATTGCCGGGTGTGACCCAAAAAAGAAAAAAAAGAAAAAAAAAAGAAGCATGTGGTCAGTGCAGACAAAAGCATCTGACCGACGCCCGGTCACCCGAAAGCAAAGAGGCTTCTGCTCATGTCCACCAGGGCTGGGGCGGGGCCCACGCCTGCCCGCAGCAGGCCAGAGACAGGAGTCAGTGGAGAGACTGGCCTGTCGGCAGATGCTGCAGTCACTGGCGTGAAAGGCCCTGTGGAATGTACAGTGACCCGCAGACCTAGTACGTGGATTCAGCCAGAGAACGACGGGGTAGGGAGCACTGTAGCACTGTCTTCCCGTTGTTCATCGATTTGCTCGAGCAGGCACCAGTAACGTCTCCATAATGAGACTTGTTGTTACTGTGTTTGGCATATCAAATACGCCACAGAGAGCTTGCCAGGCTCTGCTGTGTGGGTGGGATACTCTTGGTAGCTTGCTGGGCTCTCCGAGAGGGGCAGAGGAATCTAACCCGGGTTAGCCATGTGCAAGGCAAATGTGCTATCGCTCCAGCCCATAGGGATCACATAAAAATTAAAAAAAAAATTTTTTAAGTTATGCAATAAAAAATTTAAATGTCATTCATTGTAGGAAAAATATTCAATCCATGTAGAATATTTAGGGTCAGTCAAACAAAGGCCACTGCAGGCCAGCGCTGCAGACCAGAGGCTGGCAGGGAGAAACAACCGTGGAGCAGGGCGCGGGTCAAGCACTCGCTCTGGGGCTGTGTCTTCAAAGGTCCATGAGCACCAGCCCTTGGGGAAAGGTGGAGGAAATTGGGAAGCCCCGGAGCTGGAGCACAGCACAGCACAGTGGGTACGGTATTTGCCTTGCACACAGCCAACCCGGGTTCGATCCCTGGCATCCCATAGGGTCCCCTGAGCACCACCAGGAGTAATTCCTGAGTGCAGAGCCAGGAGTCAGCCCTGAGCATCACCGGGTGTGGCCCAAAAAGCAAGAAAAAAAAAAAAGGCAGGAAAAAAAAAAAGGAAAGTAAGAAACTGGGCAGCCCCTGAGCTGGCAGGCAGGCGGGCAGCTATGGGGAGGGGGGGCACCTCTCAGTCCCCGCCCGATGGTGGGTGCTCTGGACCTCACTTCCTTCCACTCCCACACCCCACCCTGCTATCTGCCTCTTCGCCTCCTGCTGTGCCCGCCCCCCATGAACACAATTTTCACTGTGGCTCTGGAATGTTTTATTAAGCCATCTTTGACACTAGGAACTTTCTAGAACCATCCACAGCAGAAAACACCTGTGGCCTTACAGTCGGGTTCAACCCCTGGCACCACTCAGGGTCCACCCGAGCCCCACCAGGGTGATCCCTGAGTCCAGGGCCAGGCGGAGTGTCCCCCAGACAGAACAAAACCCAAAACCCAAAGACACAGAACGGCACAACCTGGGCTGGGACCTGTCGGGGCCTCAGGGTACCTGAGCTTCGCTGTGGCCCAGAACGAAATAAAGTAACGCAAACGCAAAGACAAATAGGCAACTCGTCCTTGTGTTACGCCGAGCTGCACCCCGGGAGGACACTCCCGCGGGCTGTGAGGGACCAACGACCCGGCGCCAGAGAGGAGAACGCTTCTTGGGGTGGGGGTTGCACCCACCCCGCTCCATGGACGCGGCACACGCCCCAGGAGAAGCTGGGACAGGACACAGGCCGGGAGCAGAGCGAGGAGGCGTGTGAACCCAGCCCGTGTCCTGCACATACGAGGGGGCCCCAGCACACACACACACATGCACATGCAACACAGCTCGGAGCCGCGGGCAGAACTCTGAACGCTCACACAAAAGCGGCAGAGGAAAGGGCCGTGGCCTTGAGCAAGAAGGGCCCGGAAGCCGGGCAGGAGGACAGTGGCCTTGGCCTTCAGAGACAGGATGAGAGGCGGGGCTGAACGCTCAGCTGACACCCTCTAGTGCAGGCCAAGGGGAGGAGGGATGGACGGACACGGCAGCAACTCTCAAAGCCAGAGTGTGCCACCAACTGGGCAAGCCCACCAGGCCGCTGTTGGGGCGGGGGCAGGTGGACACTAGCACGGCTGGGAGGGTGACTGCCCTGCACAAGGCCAACCTGGGTTTGATGCCCAGCACCCATGGGGTCCCCCAGGCCCGCCAGGAGTGAGCCCTGAGCACCGCTGGGCGTGCCCCTCCCCTGGAAAGGAAGGAAAAGTGGGTTCGGAGGGCAGCGGGTGGGCTGGCCTGGTGCGGCGGCCTGAGCCCACCAGGAGTGAGACCCGAGCCCCACGAGGAGAAAAAGAGATGGGGAGGGGCACTATGGGGGAGGGGGTGGCACGCGTGTGGGCCAGGGCAGGAGGGGACACAGGCCCCACACACTTTGACAGCACCACCAGGGGCATCTCTGGGCCCCCAGGGGGCCCGCGCTGCAGAGGGGTCAGGCAGCAACATACCCGGAGGCCCTTCCAGACTGTGGACCCACGAAGTGTCCAGAGACAGAACCAGCCTCCAAAGACCAGTGGGGCGGTCACCGGCACGTGCAGGCCAGACCGGCACAGGGACACCAGAGTAGGTGGAGCGACAGGCCGTGGCCGAGGTGCGGGGGTCCCTGGTCCGTGGACGGTACCTTAAGAAAGCCAGGCCAGGGCCGGGGAGAGACTACAGCAGGATGCAGCTGACCCAGGTTCAATCCCTGGCATCCCACATGGTCCCTGAGCACCCCAGGAGTGACCTGAGCACCACCGGTGTGACCCCCACGAAAAATGTCAGACCTGCGATCTTTCCTTTCCTTCCCTCCCTCCTTCCTCTTTCTCTCCCTCTTTCCATCCTTCTCTTTCTCTTTCCTTTGGTCTGTCTTCTTTCCTTTTTTACTTTTTTTTTCATTCACTTTCCTCTCTTTCCTCCTTTTCATCTCTCCCTCTCTCTCTCCCTCTCTCTCTCCCTCCCCACCCCCCCATCATACAGGCTGCGCTGCAGTC